TTACTGAGAGAGGAAAAATGAATGCAACCAGGATGAAAATACAGTTTATTTTTCATCTTCTTTCACCACTGATAGAAAGGAATGAGTTGTGCTGATACTCTAAGGAAATTCACATTTTGATCTCCCAGTGAATCACCTATGGAAAATTAGAAACAGGATGTTGTCACTATAAAGTGGCTCTAGTCCTGTAGATGGCATTTGCAACTTCAGTAAAAAAGTAAAAGATCAAACATTAATCGATTACTGAATCTGGGCTGCACATGGCACTAAATTGCAAGTGGGGATGGAAGGGTGCATCCTAGGAGAGAGGACATCTTGACCCAAATAGATAAATTCCAGTACAGTTCCATGAAAAAGCACATCTACATTGCTTAGTAGGATTAGCAAAGCCTAACTAATTTATAACACTGCCAAAACAAAGCAGCTTTATTACAGAGTCTGAACTGAGATAATTATAAAATACATACCTAGTCTATACATTGCTTGTAGGAGAGTCTCAGTAAATTCTTTCTGATTTAATAAAAATGAAACGCTATCACTTTCAACATCACACAAAATTTAAGCTTCGAATGCTCAGAAAGAAATTAGGGGAAAAATAATGGAGGACAAAACTTGCAATCGGCTTATCAATCGGCTTATTGTTGACACGCCACGCCACTGAGAATAGTTTCTAATTTTCTTGAGCCCTTATCTCAGGTAAAGCTATTAACTCGGGGAAACAGGTTACGCAGAAACCATGAAAGTTTCTAGTCTGGCCGACCCTGGGTTCAATACTCTCTTATTCCAGGCAAGAGGTGAGTGCCTCTCGCTAAATGACAACATCCCGTCTGTCAGACGGGAATAAGAATGATTCTCTCATTGGGTGGTTGTGGAGGTGAGTGAAACAAGACTACAATTTGACCCAGGAAATATTTATATCTCTCAGTTTAAAGGAGGGACTTAAAAAATGATCAGAAACGAAGGTAGAATATAGCGAACACGAATAGCGGGAAATAGCTAATGTGCAGGTGAGGTGGCTGAAAGGCTCCTACCCTCAAAGTGTTTGCTGAATGCACAGGCGATCTGGGATACATCCCGAACTCGGCAAGAGGACCAACTCCTTCCCTCAAGGTTACACAACAGCCAGGTTTCAGTTCAGGTCTGGAAATCTACCCATCTGGAGTTTGCACCCTTTTCGTTTTGCAATTTAAAACCAGGTTGGAAGGGAAAGGAGTGAAGGAAGATGTGGAGAAAGTACATTACAGTTCGGGTGACAGGAACAAGAAAATCTCCAAGGTCAGGGTCGGGTGTCAACGAATTATGCAAAATACTGCGGAATGAGGAGTCACAAACGCCTTGCAAAGAATTCTGAATTTTAGAAGCTCTTTGCAGAGCTCCCTTCAGTCCGCTGCAAGCTGCCTTGGGTCCCTCTCTAGGCTGCCGGACTTTGCCTTCCTTTCCTCCTTGTTTTTTCCGGCAACCAAAGCATCTGAAAAACATTTTTTTTTTTTTCCTTCGTAAATCTGAACACATTTCCTCGCAGCGCAGAAGCTTTTTAATTGCTTTAACAAAACTTTCTTCTGCTTCTCTAGGGAGAACCTAGTATTAGAGCTGCCCGTCAGGCAGGACCCCGAAATCGGGGCACCTCTGGCTTAGTCCAAGCTATTCAAGTGGGCGCCTCCCAGGGAGGCGCCGTCTCCACCCGCGTGGAGATCTGAGTGCAGGCAGAAGCCTGGCAAGACTCGGCGAACCGGGGTCCCGCCGCGGTAGCGAGCAGAGAAGCCCGAGTCTGGGCCTGAGGGGCGGCGCGCGGGGAGGGGTGCGCGCTAAGCCCGCGCGGCTTCCGCAGGAGCTATTTTTAGCAGCGCGTGGCTCCCCCCCCCGCCCCGGGCGTGGTAGCCTCCGGCTCGCGGCGCCCCGCGACTCCTCTCGGTCTCCCCTGCCGCTGTCGGCTCTTGGTAGCTTCCACGCGGGCAGGTCCGGAAACTGAGCATGTCTGCAAGCGCTCGGCGGCGCCGGCGGCAGCGGGGGCAGAGCTGCGCTGCGTCAGGCTGATCCCATTCACCGCGCGGTCGCAGGAGCGCAGCGCCGACGCCGCGCCGCCCAGCCCCGCCGAGAGGGGCGCACTCGCCGCCGCGGGCCCCGCCGACGCTCACCGCAACCCCCTCCCGGCGACCCGCAAGTAAGTTTGTGAGGCTGCTGGGCGGTGGGGCGAGGGCTTGGCGCGCGGGGGAGTCCAGGTGGGCTAGCGGGAGGCGCGGCTGGCGCCCAGGAGAGCCGGCTGGCCTCTGCCCCCTGTGCCTGGCGCCTCTCGGAGCCGCTTAGCCAATTTGAAAGCGGGTGGCCATTGGGATGCTCGAGCGGGGCGACGGGCAGAGCAGGAGGGCAGAACTAGCTCCAACGGGGGCCCAGAGGGCGGACTTGGGAAGAAGGAAAGAACGCGCGGCGAGGGAGGGGACCGGGCGGGGAGGCTGGGTTTGGGGCGCGGGAGCCCGGCCAGGGACAGCCGCAGAAGGAAAGTGGGGGTGTCGCCGGTGGATAGGGTGGGAGCAGCGTGAGAGCACACTGTTGGGGGCGCAGAGTGGAGGGCAAGCGTGTCTTGACCAGAGCTGCAGGAGGATGGGTGGAAAGTGGGGCGCGTGGAAAGCGGATTTGAACGAGAGCAAAGGACGCCCGTGGAAGGGACATTGGTCTCCGGAGTGGCGAGTGGACTCGGATAATTTGGGGAATCAGTATAAGGTTAGGGGCACGTAATGATGGAGTCAGCCTGGACTCAATCTCCGGATAGAATATGCGAGGCCACATGTTGGGAACTGGCTGGAGAGAGGATGATGTAGAAAGTGGCCTGGAAGTGCCAGCTGGAAAATCGCTGAGGGATTTGGGTGAAGAGGCGGGGAGTGGTGAGGGATCGGGTGGAGGAACTGGGCTGCTGGTAGGGCCCGAAAGGTTCAGGAGAGGGCTGGAGGTTTCCCTGTGCCGCTTGGAATAGTGATTTAGTACTGTTCTCCAAGGTTCACTTTCACCCCGGCTCCTCCTCCGTCTACTACCTGGCCTGGGCGCACCTCGGCTCCCTGTAGGCGAGCTTGTAGGAGCTTTAGATAGACATCAGGCAGTGAGGAATGTAGTCGTTTGGGGGCGGGGGGAGCTGCTCGGGCTTCCCTTAAGTGGTTCCTGGCACTCTGGGGGTGCTGTGTAGGGTCTGAATGTGTGTGTTGCAGGGGTAGGGTGGGGTAGGGGGAGTAGTGTCAGTTCTAGGCCACGGGAATTTGTGGTCTGGCCCCAGAGGTGCGGTGTTTTTGGCCAGGAAGTCAGGCAGAAGTCTGCAGCCTGCAACTCGGGTCGGGGCGTGTGTGTGTTTGTGCGCGCGCGTGTGTGCATGTTTCCGGCCGGGGGTCGCGTGTGTGGCTGCAGACTGTCTCCATGACAAGAAGATCCAGGGATCCACAGGCGGCACGGGGATTAGGGGAACGCGCTTTCCTACGTCTTTTCTGCCTCCTTTTCCCAGGGTAGCATTCTTTGCTTATCCGGTGATACCTCTAACCTCTCCCTGTCCCCTTACATCCCAAACCTGATGCCGGTCTTCTCTGATTCGGCACTCTAAGGAGGACTCAGCTGCCGGCTGCGACCACAGTGGACTCCCTCTGTGGAAGGGAATCCTGGGAGTCCCGGCCGTCAGAGGGGTTCCCGCATCCGAAGGGTCCATCTTCGAGGCGTCACTCAGGGGGTCCGCGGTTCACTCTACTGCCCCTTGCAGGTGACGCTGTGATTGTTGCCTTCGGACAGGGAAGCACGATGGCTCCAAAAGGCCAGTGGGGCCAAGAAGCAGGGACAGAAACCAGCACTTAAGGGATCTCTGGCGGGGGTCTTCCTGGAGTTTACCACATGTAAATATAGCAAAAAAGAAAAGAAAAGAAAACATCAGGTTACTAGAATAAATATGTCCTAAAAGCTTATGCAAAAACGCCTTTTTGAACAGTGAAAATTTCACCCACCAAAACAGGGAGGCAAGAAGCTTCCACAACGTGCAGGATCGGAAACAGGACGAGCATGGCTTGGGCGTGGGGCAGGGGGGTGAGAATGGGGGAGGGGTTGTCGGCTTTTCCATCCAGTTTGCCATGTTCTGTCGTCGGTTTCACATTTTCAGAGAGATTTGACCAGATATAGGAAATGAGGATGAAGGCAACTCTGGAATGATGCAAAGAAGGGAGAGCAAGTACTTTACCTACTGTCTGCTATCTAAGAGGGCTGGTCTCATAACTAAGAGACCCAGTCCCTGAGATCTTGTGTGCAACCATCAGAAATAGTTCAGGACATCAAATTGCAGAGAGAAGATTCAGATGAAAGGAAACAAGAACTCTGTGGAAAACTGTTAGGGACAGTGAAACAGGTTGTCTTGCAAGGCGATGTCTGTCCCATGGAGGGACACAACAGCGAGGACAACACGGTTCTAATGGCCAGGGCCTGTCCTCTTATTCCATGTGACAGTGGCTGGCTGAGTTTCTAGTACATTTTTGAAATATACTCTTTGAAATATGTTGATTATCCTGGACATCGGTAAGATGGGAAATTTGAATAAAAAGGCTTCTGTTATTGGCTTTTATTGCTATGATTTTTTTTTCCATTCATTATTATAAAGCCTGTGAAGGTAAAATAAATGATTATTTCAGCCATTAATTCTGTTCTCCCCAGAATGCTGTTCAAATAAAACATCATCTGATATGCTTGCCTGTATTGTTTTGTTTTTTGGGGGGTCAAGGAAGAGGGAAAGTCAACTAAATTGATTAGGATGTCATATAAAAGCAGAGATTAGATCTTATGAGTTGTGCGGGAAAAGTCTTAATTATAGAATGCAAAATTTAACCTGAGATAAGAGAATCTTTTACTCTCCACCTCCTGCATTTGAAATACAAAGGATTGTACCCTTGGGCTGGTTCCTAGCCCTTAAATGGAAGCCTAACTTGGCACTTTTTTTCTGGAGGATTGTTCCCTAAATCTGGTAAGCTTTAGAAAATAGTCAATGGATACTTACCTGGCAGGGGAGATACCATGATCACAAAGCCTTTGCCAGGACGAGGCTTATCCATTGCACTCCGGATGTGCTGACCCCTGCGATTTCCTCAAATGTGGGAAACTTGACTGCATAATTTGTGGTAGTGGGGGACTGGTTGGAGCTTTCCCCTGGACTTATTTTCAAAAAAAAAAAAAAAAAAAAAAAAAAAAAAAAAAAAAAAAAAAAAAGAAAGAAAGAAAAGCTGGTGAATTGACTTGAGGAGGCAGAACGAGAAATAGAGATGTCAGTTAACCTAGAAGAAAAGAAGTCACTTTCTCTCACTTTAGAGATAGATCTTATTGACAGGCTTAGAGCAGTGATTCTCCACTGGGGGCAGTTTTGCCTCTGGGGGATATTGACAGTGTCTGGAAATATTTTTGGTTGTCACAACTTTGGGAAAGAGGTGCTGCTGGCATCTTGTGGGTCAGGCCAGGGATGCTGTGAACATTTTACAATAAACAGGACAGCCTCCTGCAATTATCCAGCCCAAATGTCAATAATGCTTAATTTGTGAAACCTTAGCTTTCAATAAGATGTGCTTAACATTAAAAGCAACCCCTTTTAGGATACATACAAGTATTTCCATCGGAAGTCCATCTTGACTATAAAGAGTAGTTAGTTAATAAGAGACTTTCTTTGCAAAATGGTCCCATGTTCAAAAACACTTGTTTTAAGGAAATTAAAGAGGCTTCCTTTTGGCAGAACTTTTCTTTCAGCCTTTAAAAAAACAATCCTAAGATATATTGAGAATTTCTAAAAGGCGAATTATATGCATGTGTGCATGTAAACTAGGTAAACATTGTTTGATTAAAACCAAATCAAAACTATTCTGCTGTACCAATTTCACTGAACTTGTTTGGTAATTGCTTTTTAAAATATATAATCTTAATGTTTAATTAAAATGAGATTAATTTAATTAAAATTACAATTTGTAAATTTCTTACCAAGTGAGGGATTGAACAATCAGAGAAAAATGTTAAGTAAATATTTGTTTGAAGCCACAAAAAATATTCCAGAATGAAACCTTAGTATTTATAGGTGTCTACATAGAAAGGTAAGAATGTCGTATAATTTTCTTGTACTGTATTCAGTTTCCATTTGAAGCATGGAGTGTATTGAGAAACATCAAGCCTTTCGATTCTGTAGCACAATACATTGCCTAGAAAGGAAGAACAATACCTTACATCCATAAACGTAATAAGATACTGTTCTAATATCCCCTGCACGCAGGAACTCAGAGCACTTATTAGGTAAAAGCCATGTCATTAGCACAATGAGGCCTAGAGAAACGAAAATTTGGTCATTGTTTCGACCCCCTCTCCCACCCTGTCATCCATTTTTGTTGTTGCTGTTGGTTTGTTTCAGAATTCATTCTGAAGGTGTTATCGTTAGGGTTGCTTACTTCCTTTCTTGTTCTAATAACCATTCCATTCACCCTTACCTATTACTATCCTTCAGGGATTTGTGTTGCAGCAGACTTGATACTCCTGCTGAGACACTGGGGCACCAGTAACCCTCTCCCTTTCTCCAGTGTGTAGAGACACAAACAGTTCTTATTTGCTTCTAGGTGGAATGGGGATTTGTGCCTGTCTTGGAAAAAGGCCATGGGAAGAGCCTTTGCTTTTCAGAAAGGCAGCCTCAGTTTCTCTGCTTGTATCTTTACTGAATTGGTTTGTTCAGTTGCGTATTCTTGCTATTTCAGCTTCCTCTTTCCCAAGAGAATAGTGAAAGAGCTGAGGAAAACGACTTCCTTGTAAGCAACACTGGTATTGATAGAATGCACCTGTCATAGGACTACGTGAAAGCCCAATAAATATAATTTGAACCAATTATAATTATATTTGTAAATTCAGTAAGCATTTGTAAACTCAACAGTAGCAGGTTCTGTTCTAGACACTGGAACTCTTGCACTTGCAATACCCAGATATATCTCTAAAAGTCTATCTGTACAAAGAAATGTAAGATGGGCATTCATTTTCATTGAATTTGGAGCAATTATAGAGATATTCCATGATTCTTGAAAAGACTTCAGAATACAATTGGTGAGATGCAGAAGGCAGAAGAAATCATTAAGTGGAAAACAGTTACATGGATTTCTATACAGGCTAGACAAGGAGGGAATGAGAAATTTGAGGTGAAAGGGGTCAGTTCTTGTCTCCCTTTTCCTTTTCTTAGCAAATAGTTATTGATTTTGTTTGACATCTGAGCAAGTAGAGGTGGCTTCCTTCCTTGCAGATACTTTTTGAATGGACGTGTGCCCTTTTGCACTTCTGAGAGCCACAGTGGTAGAAGACAGTGGGCTGGCTGGCACTGGTAGTTAGAGGAAGGAGAATTTCAAATCAGTTCTGTTCTAATGGTGTTTGCAGCAAAGGCTTTAACCACACACTTTCAAAGACTGAGCATTCTGTGTCACTATTTTGAGGAGACTAATATAGAGACTACAGAACTGAGCATTTTTGTTATTTTGGGTACTAGGCAATACTTATGCCTTAAAGTATACTTATTTGGGGAAAGCATATTTATTTGGAGGAAAAGGAAATAGTAATAAGATGGCAGGTCCTTTTACCTAAAAACAAACTTGTTGCTCACTCTGGCATGTCAGTTATTGTCCCAGCTGGACTGAGAGTCATGTGAAAATTTTATCAAACACTATATGTTGCTTTTGCTAAATTTAGGAACAATAACAAACACACACAGCAAGATTTTGAAATTTATGTTGTAGCAAAGGCAAAGTGAATATCTTTTTTAAAATTTCATTTTATCTTATAGTTGTTAAAGATAAGCAATAGCATTGCAGGAAAAAAGCCTTGTTTGTGGAAGGTTTTACTTTTGTTTACAAATGTTTATTCATCTTAAGAAACAAGAATGAGAAATAGAGATGCCAGTTAAAGTGGAGGAAGAGAAATCACTTTCTCTCACTTTAGAGATAGATCTTGATAGGCTTAGAGCAGTGATTCTCCACTGGGGGTAGTTTTGCCCCCTAGGGGATACTGACAATGTCTGGAGAAATTTTTGGTTGTCACAACTTTGGGGAGGCAACAAACCTGGAACATTTCCCCAGGCTTTCAGCCTTCTTTGTAAATAGTGTGTCTCTTCTATCTCTGGAATATTCGTTATGTGATGTCTTTTGGAATCTGAATCCTGGGCTCAGATGGCTGATACGGCTCCTTCTAATTCTGTGATTTAGAGTTGTCTCTATCTTCCTAAAGAAGGTAAAAGAGACATGCTATTTGCTATTGAGGGTACAGTAGTAGGTGCAGGCTGTAGTCTGTTTTACAGAATTACATGCATGTTGCTTGACCTTGGTCTGGGACTCCACTGACCAAAACATTGAACTCAGCCTTCTGGATCATGAAACCTGATTTTTGAAATTTTGATTTGAACAACAGTGTTTTGACCAGGTTTGACAGTCGACTCATGTATTTGGAAAACACTGACTGTTAAGCCGGAATACTAACTATTCATTTACAAGGAAAAAGACGTAGGCATTTAGGTCATTTAGATCAAGAGCTTTACAGTCAAATCTGGCACTGCTGCTTAGTAGTTTGTGACTTTAGATGAACTTAACTTTATGGAACTTCTATTTCTTCATCTTTAAAATGAAAATGATTATGAAGTGATTTGCCTGAGGTCAGTGGCCACTCTGAATCATTTCAATTTGGTTTACAGTTTTCAGAATCTCCATCCAAACCTTCTCCTTCTTAAGAGCATGCTTATTTTCTTGGTTAAATCCATGTTTCTTCTGTTTATTTAAAAATGCTCCAGAACCTATATTGAGCTCAAGAACCTCTCCTTTCAGTTGTTAGATTCTAGGTCTTCAAGAGGCAAAAAAAAAAAAAAAAAAAAAAAAAAAAAAAAAAAAAAAAAAAAAAAAAAAAAAAAAAAAAAGTAACTGAAGGGTCTCTAATTATGTTCAATTCAGGTATTCACCTAAATGGTCAAAAACACCTTTTTATTTTTTCCTAATTGGGATGAACATAAGTAGAGCTTTAAGTAAAGATATCTAAAACCAATCAACACCATATACATAATATCTTTCAACTAGGATATATTTTTTTGATGATCAGAAAATTGAAAATTGGCCCTTGTTGATAATTTTGTTATTAAGTTGATATATGTTTTTATTCCAGTTCAGTGCTGTTGCTGTTATGGTTTATTGAAGCATTTCAGATTCAATAAAAATCTGAAAACCTACATGTTGTTCATTGTAAATAATGTATGTATTCTTATTTGTAATTTTGGTGATTGATATGTGTACAATCAATTGGAATAATGAAACACTTAAAGTTGGAAACCAGAACAGATGGCAACTTTGAAAGAACATTCCCTTTAGCATCAGACAACTTTAAATTCAAATCTCTATTTCTTAGTTACTAGCTATAAAAAGTTGGGGAAATTACTTTCTACCTTACTACTTTTTGAGAATCATATCCACCAGATTATATGTTATGATTCCTGTGATGATTCGGTGAGATAAGCAAGTAAAGATGCTAGCATGATGTCTGGTACCCGCTTTGTTCTTGTACTCTGCTAATTCCATCACATAGCAGCTGTGCCCTTGCAAGTGATCATTTATGCTTGAATCTGTTCCAACTGTTTTACTCTTAAGAATCAAAAACAAAACCAAAAACAAACAAACAAACAAAAAAAACAAATCCCCCTGATACCAAGTTTCTTGAGGGACAAAAAAGAGACATGATTCATGACTGCGTGAGTGAGTGGAGCTTGGGGGCTCTATCTGACTCCTGAGGGGACCTGATTCAGGGCTCACACCTTGTGACCAGTTCCATTGCAGTTTTCATTGCAACGTCTTAGCTTCTCTTCCTACATCTTGGCTCTGTTCTTGACAGGCTCACTCCTCAGGTTTCTGAGATGGCTGCCAGAGGCTTTCAGAGCTTCATATTCCCAGGTTCAAACCTAGTGAGGAGGACAGTCTCTTCCTATACATTTTACAGAGGAAAGAGGAGGCTGCTCTTCCTAGAAATTCCAGTAAATATCCCTAATCATGTCAAGAGCCCTCCACCAGTCATAGTGGCCAGAAATGTGGAATATACATACTGGTTGAGGAAGTGTGTTTTCCCATAGAAAATTGAGGGATTGTCATTTGTATACTGATTGTATGCTAGCAAGA